CCCCCCCCCGGAATGCTTTCACATTTGTTATGTTTAAAAAATAAATTCCTTCTACTTCTAGATTGAAAATTGGAGCTACAAAATGCAAAATCCTGTCATGTACAAAATGGGACTCTCAAAATTCCTCAACTAAACCCAGCATAATTCATCTTAAGACAGCTATATTTGTCACAAGCAATGCAGCACAAGATGCTACTATGAACATTTTTTACTCTATTTACTAGACTATAGTATTTTCTGCTCAAAACTTTGCTTTTTAGTACCATTGGTTTTTTGTGAGCAGCTGTCCTGCTTCTCAGTTCCTTCAAGGAGCCCTTGTCACTGCCAAGCACCTATAGAATATCTGTCATTGACTTCAGTCTTCCCCACAGTGATTTGTCTTCATTAAGCTTAACTGGTAATGTGTGAAAGAAATCTATCCCCACTGTTTTCTTTCTCGGTGGGATATGTGTTAAGAAATATGAGTGGGAATTTCCCCACTGATTTCATTAGAGCTGCATTTTCACTCCTGTATGTTTTGCAGTGTTGTCCTTCATAAAAGAAGTTGATTGATAACAAATTTATAGCAGCAACCCTTTGGAAAGAGTTTTTTCCTTTCCAAGTATTTGCCTTGTGTTGACAAATGTCATAGTGATTGCCGTAATACCAAGTTGGAGAGGTACCATTTCCACCCCCGATGCTTTTACCCACAGTGAAATCAGCATTAGCACACACTTTCTGCACAAAGTGTTACCAGTGAATTTTTCATGACTTCCTTCATCATCATCAGTGCTCACTTGACTCTCCATAGACCAGTGAGCTGGTGGCATTGCCTACCAAAGCAAATGAGCAGTTAGATAAAACCCCATTCTGTTGAGCTTGTTTATGCCATTCTGAAGACCATGAAATTTACTTCTTAGCAGAAGATTTTTATAAAGTCCGCATCTTTCTTAAAGCCTGTGGAGTTTAAAACTGGTATGCAAGTCTTCTGCTTAGCCCTCTCTGCAAAGGTGTACTTTTGTAAGTAAAGTAAATATAACCTGGGGGTCTTTCCAGGCTGCCGCAACTCAACAACAAAAAAGCGAACAGCAATTTAGGTGAAGAGCAATGGAGAAAGAATAATATTGCTATGTCTTTAGTTTCTTCTTAAGTAATGAGTATTTTGTTTGTCATTTTTTTTCCTCCTTTGAGCTATTATTTTGAAGGTCATTATTAAACTTATTTATATTTATATGGGAAGGGTTGCATTTAAATTTAGAGAAACTTGATCCTTCCATTTTCATAACAAAAGCATAGCTGTGCAGCTTCCTTTAGTGTTTTATTCTTTGAAGGGTAGTCACCTTAAGCTTGAATCTATTTAATTTAGTGTATCCTTAACTCACATATCCTTTGATCTTTTCCTGTGCCTCTTTCCACCCTATTTTTTTTCTCTGTACACTGGGATTTGCAAAAAGGTCTTACTGAGGTTAGGTTTCCAGCTCCTATTAACTTTTGAGACTGCAGCTTAAGTCCTCTTTGATTGCAAATGACCTTCTTCAGAAAAAACAAACCCAACAAAACACCCCCAACGAAAACCCAAACCAAAAAAAACCCCAAACTAACCAAAACCCCAAAGCAACAAAAAATCCAAAACAGATGAAGTGATTTCCTTCTAGGCAAGGGGGAGACAGTTTAAATAGTTGAGCTGAGCAGGCAGCAATAACATTAGTGAAGATGAGGGTTATACAGAGGTCTAGCAAGGAGAATTGTTATGGCATGTGAAAAGAGATTTGCTGGCATCCAAGTAAGTTACTTTTTTCAGCTAGTGAAGCTATTTTAGTAGATAATAAGAATTTTGGAAATTTATTGGAATAAATTCTTTCTTAGCTCGTTTTCAGTTCTAACAGCTTTATTTTAATGCCAGATTAATTTTCGCTGCAAACCAACTTTCCGAGAAGGAGGCTCCAGATCTCCGAGAGAAGTAAGTAATGGACAAATGAAGATTGCTTTCCATTTGATTTGTGTGCTGATCCATCTGGTGTGGACCTGCAGCAGTGCTTTTAGATTCAAAGGAATCTCAGACAAAGTATCGGTTCCCAGTGGGACATGTTCTCCTCCCCAGAGTAAATGTAAAATGAATTCTAGCTGAAGCACTCCATTACTTACCCTGAGAGAAACAATTTTATCTTTCTGTTGTCTCTTTTTCCATTCATCCAGCTATTCTGTCTGTCTTTTTTTTGGTTGCATTTCTATATTTTTATTTCCTTACCATTGAACTAATATTTTTTTCTCTATTTCCCTCTCCTTTCACTTACCTATCCCTTCTTTATTTTCTGTTCCCTAGAAGTATCTCTAGTATCCTAAGACTTTTTTAGTGGAAAAAAAAATAAATAAAATCAAGCATGCAAACCCCTTATGATTTGCCTTCAGCTACTGTACGAATTCAGCTCCTTTGAAGGTCCTGGATATTTATTGTTGTTGTTATTATGTTTACATATCTGTCTTACATAGTTAGAAGCCAGTGTTACAAAACACCTCTTAAGTTTTATAGTCGATTTGCTGGCCAGCTTGCTCTTAGCAGAGGTAGCTCAATTCCCTTCCACATCGATGATTCAATGTTGGCTGGTATAACAGCATGGCACAGGCATGTCCCTTCTAACCCCCTTGCCTGCACAGCAGCAGAGACAGCAGTCCTGCTCACCCTCCTGTCTCTTGCCCACCTCTTCCTGCCATCCTGGATGTAAGTAGTCCAAACATGGAGAAAAGACTGCTTCAATGGCTGCGTCTTCTTCCCCTCCTTCCCTTCTCCTGCATTGACTTGTGATTTTTTTGTGTTACAAGGTTGTATTGCCAAGCAGAAGAGTGGGGTCCTGTATTGCGGCTGAACACAGCAGTGGCTGGGCACTTCTGCGCTCTGTATTTAGGTGATGATTATCTTCGCATCATATGATGAACTTCCTTCTTTTTGTAGAAGAGTACCAAGAAAGTAGTTCTGGCCACACTTCAGTATGGATAAAGAACACCATCTCATCCTTGTTCCTCCTTCAGTTTCGGCTGTGTCTGGGGTTTCCCACAGGGGCTGCTGAATTCTGCTCCAGAGATGATTGCATTGGCTGAAGGGACCTTTCCTTTGGTGTCTGTAAACTCATTTCACACAGATGGTAGCACTAAGTCCCTGCTGCCATTGCTTCCTATAACACATCTTTTTGTCCTTCTTTTGTAGAACTTTGTCCGCCATCACTGGGTGCACAGGAGGAGGCAGGAGGGGAAATGTAAACAGTGTGGAAAGGTAAGATTTCCAGTGAAGCACAACACTGGGCACTTACAAATTCAGGGTAGCCAGTAGGTCCTTCTAGTGACTGAAATCCTTCTATCCTAAACACTTGTCCTCTTTTAAGGGTTGATGACAAGCCTGATATGTTGAGTGGGAGCAGCCCTGATTCCCATGTGGGAAAAGAAATGGCAGCTGCATCTGCACGAATGAGCACATCATGTGTTCCTGGGACATGTTGCTTCACTGGCTGCTGAAAATGAGGAGGAGGAAGGCTGTGGCTCCTTGAGCTTCTTTCTTCATTAAGCTAAGCCTGTACCAGTATGGTGTTCTTGTAGTGCTTTCCTCTGTGCCAGAATTGTGATGCCCTATTTTTTCAGGCTTTTGGAAAAAGAAAGGATGTTGCTTTCTTTCTGACCTCGCAGACTCTAAGATCTGTGAGACTGTTCCACATTTCCTCTGCTGCACACAATGTAAAGGTTTATTTCTAAAAAGCTACAAAAAGGGGGTAAGAAGTACCTTACCCACTGGAGACCTTTCTTCTGAAATATTATGAACCCCTGACATCTGTTGAGAGATATTAAAAAAAATCTAATTAACACAGGGGTTTAACTTCCTTTCTCTAGCACTATATTATACTTGTGCCTCCCTCTTAACACCAGCTAGTAAGACTGTGTCTCATCTCCATGGCACAGCACTTAAGTCAGTGGAAAATCAGATTTGCGTCTGGATACTGATGTAGATCATCAGCTACCAGCTGCAAAAAGGTATGCATTAAAACTGTGGTGTCCCTTTGTGGTAATTAGCATGGGAACAGTGCAGCAAGTCACTTGGCATACAGCATTCTTATGGTATGACTTTGCAATGGTATTGCCTTCCTCCTCTGACATTTTGGCCTGGATCTCCCCTAGAGGCATTAGGAGTTGATTTTGCAATAGGAGTACTTACTGGCTATCATATCAAAACTTGTGCTGAGTACATTCATGTGGGCAACATGACTAGTACATCCGAAAAATTCCTGTCAGCCTTGACTCCTATGAAGAAGTTCACAGTTTCCCCCTTAAATAAGAAATACTCAGTTAAGACTAACATGGGTATGTTTTAGTAAAGTTGTTCTTTGTCAAGAAACAGAAAGGATTAAGGAAAATGATGACAAGAAAAAATATCTCATTATATTTTTTGGTTAAGCAGTCTCCTATTACAGCAAAATACTTGCTTGTCTTCTGCTCTGCTGTTACATTTTGTATATGTCTGAGTGAGAACCATCTTTTATATTCTTTTGTCACACAAGAAAAAGGGGAAAAAAACTATCATATTAATGGAGTGGCAGTAAATTTAAAGCACTAAAAGAAAGCATTATTCATGGAACACCTAGTGATTCTGGTAGGTCTTGTGTAATATTAGTCCTATCCCATGGCTGGAACTGGATATTAAGTATTTTAATGATCATTAATAACAATTTGAGTAAAGAAAGTATTTAGAATGTACCTATTTCATGTTTCAAATCATAAACATTAATTAAGGAATTAATGCTTCCCAACATACTTACGTGGCTTTATTTGAATTGTAATAATACGTAGCTTTCCTACAGTAATGTTGCATTAGAATATCTTTGAGAGTGTTAAAAAAGGAATAAATATCATCAGAAAATATGTGCTAAAAAAACATTAGTAGCCCTAACACTGATGTGAAAATGCTCTTTAAAGATAAATACATTTGAGAATACAACTGAACCATATCGGAGCTAGTAATCCCTATGTGCTCTGTTTGCGTGCATGGGTGTCTCTATATTAATGTGGACTTTGATCCTGGTTATTTGGACAGATGTAATTGTCAATGCAAGATAGGGATTCACATTCCTCAAAATATATTTCCTCTGGTATGCATCACTGCTTATTTCTACAGGAGCAGCTCAAAGCATGGGTTTTCATGTGTTGTACAGGAATTGGGTGCCAGTGAATCAAGGCTAATCAGGTACTGTTAGGCTGCTATCCTCACAAAGGTGAAAATAATTTTCTTTCCCAAAATTTCTAAATTTGTGCAGAAGGCCTCCTTGCATGATCCAGGAACAATATAGCTGAATTTTAGTTTTCCTTCTCACCGAGACAAGGCGGAAAAGATAATCTCTGGTGAAGGGGGATCCACATCAAATCTCACTGTGACCTGCCGTGCATCGCTTTATTTTATTAGTTCCTTTATTTGTAAAGCTAGCTTTCAAATAATTGCTATCTTACCTCAAACATGTATCTTTAGGAAGAATTAGCTTACATTTGTAAGGCAATTTGAGGAAGAAGAGTGGTATTTTATTGCTGCTTGTCATTAATGTTTTTCTCTAATGACTCTCTAAAAGCCAAACGGCTAACTGAATAAATGAAAAACGGCCCATCCAGAACCAGACAAGCTGCTCAGTCCATATGTTTAAAATACAAAACTGATGGGCCGTGGAATTAATGTACTGAATTTTAGGTTTTTATTAGTGGAGGCTTTGGGAGAGAACAATTTCTCCCTTGGCTGTTACAAGGCAGAACAAATGAAAACATTTCATGCCCATGAGGGGCTGAAATAATTTTTTCTTAATATGCTTTGGGACAAAAAGAGTGAGATTTGTGAGAAACATTAAGAAGCACTAGGAGAAATGAATAAGAATAGATCATATTGTCCACTGTCAGACCTCCATTCCAGAACTCACATCATACTTACTGTCACTTTGTTCTTGTGCCCACACTTAATGGCAGACTAGATCTGCACAGCCAGAAGCAGCTGGCCAGTTTGTCTGTGTGAAGCCATTTGACCATGCTCTATTACTAAACCTGAATATACCAAATCAACATCATTATGAAGAATCTGTTCTTTAAATTTCTCTGGATGTAAAACCTGAGGCATTAGGGGAAGGATTTAAAAAAATAAAAAATGTAGGCAGAGGTGACACAAGCTTCTTTAGGAACAGGCCTTAGCTGGTGATGTGGTCCATCTGCAAGCTGTAGTAGAGAGAGGCTTGTTAAAAGCCAATGAATAACAGATCCAGACAACTGCAAATCTGAAATCTAAGCAGTGATGGTGACTATGACAAACTGTTCAATGAAGTTCTGGACTTTCTGCCTCTGGCTAAAATTATTTTCTTTTCAATTCTTTCTCTGGCTAAAGCAAGCTTTAACTGAACACAAACTTTTAGGCTGTAGTTTACCATTTGTTGTCTGTGTCATATGCAAGAAGGGTGGTCTTTTCCAGCCCTAGAATTCAGAGCAAAGTGATATGTCTGCTGAAATCGTATTTGCATTCTACAAAATGAAACTCTTCTGTAGGGGAATAAAATCTCACATCTGCTGGTAATGATGGACTTTTTTCTTTTTAAAACTATAAAGAAATATTTTCTTTTATCTGTTCGATCTGAATTGGGCCATCTTGGTTTGTTGGAACTTACTAAAAAGATTTTGGTCTGAGTCAGCTCAATAAAACAATAAACTTAATTTCCCAATCAAAATGTTTCCACACAGACATTCTGATTGATTCCACTCTGTATTTAAAAAAAAACAAATAACATTCCCCCCCCCCCCCAAAAAAAAACCCCACTAAAAAAACACAAAAACCCCAAATGCGCCAACAAAACCAAATTCTTTTTTATATTTAGAGCAAACAAGACTGCGGTGAGAAAATGTTTTGTTCAACAGAAGATCTGAATCTGTCAGATCTGTATAAATCCATTACAATAGGCATTCCTTCTCTATTTCTTCTTCCATTGTTTTTAACTGTAAAATCTAAGAAGCAGCATAAAATTTTGGAGAAGTGTTTTTAAAAGTGTGAAAATGCACCAGTTGAAGAGCCTTCTCTATGAATCCTGTCATCGTTTATCCCCCAGAAATCTGTTTGGTGTGGTTAAGAGCTTTGAGGATGAACCAATATATCTGACTGATGAACGGATTTAGCCTGGCACAGTCACCTATCTAAAGGTGTAAATTTTCTTGTAGTCAGGTGGAATTTAATCCTTTTTTTTTCCTGCTTACCCTAGGGCTTTCAGCAGAAATTCTCCTTCCATAGTAAAGAGATTGTGGCCATCAGTTGTTCCTGGTGCAAGCTGGCGGTAAGTGAACAATACTCAGGGAGACTGGTAGAAGCTTCACTGAGTAGCCACACTGCAAGTAATTTTGTTTTTCATGGCTCTCGGGGTTCCCTGTCTGTGTATCACCCCCAGTTTTATTTCTGTTTCTTTCCCTCAAAGACACCATAACATCACCTGGCTGACTCAAGAAGAGTCTTGCTGCACAACATAGTTACTGGTTACCTTCCATCAGCACCCTGCCACTGTTAGCTCAGACAGCCAAAGGGCTCTTAATGCATACAGCTGCGTTAGACTAGCTTGTGGTCTTCAATTTTTGACCTGTGTTTAAGTAGGAGTGACTTTTTTGTAAGAAGGTGTGGGAAGATGCCTTTAGGGAAGATGAACTTTAGTTATACATTCCTAAAACTCCATGGTTTGAAGGCCTTGAAGATGGTAGAGTTGGGAACATTGCTCTAGTCTTCTGTACTGCCAGACTCTTCTTTCTCTCTATGTTTCCTCTTTGACTTTCCTGGCCTTCTTATCCACTCTACTCTTTTTATTTCTTTCAGTTTCATAACAAAGTCACCTGTTTCATGCTACATCACATTGAGGAGCCATGTTCCCTGGGGGCTCACGCTGCTGTTATTGTGCCTCCCACCTGGATCATTAAGGTGAAGAAACCTCAGGTAACTGCATGCTGATGTCTGTTTCTGAAGCTGTATGGCTGTGCAGGGCCAACCTGGCTTCGCTGCTCAGTACTCCTTAACTAAGGCATGCTTGTTCAACCCTGAAACCCAGCATACATCCATGGTGATTATGAACCTGTATCCTCCTGCCCCTTCATTCAGCCCTTCAGTAGATTTCCCTGTTTGGGACAATTAGCAACAAACATGACTTTTGTTCTGAGCAAATCCAGCTCAGATTTGTTCCTGTAACTGTGAGTTCAATGAGCGTATTGCAAGAAAATCCCCTGTGTTGTAGACAGTCAAGCATGTTTCATTAAATAGAGCTGAGCAAATACAGGGAAAACCTGTTCACAAACATTTACTTGAACTGCAGTAAGAATTGGCTGTGGCTGAACTGGCATCCCTCTGAATTTGCCATCAATGGACATTTAAACAATCAGGTCTTATTTTTGAGCCCATGTGCTCATTTAGTTGCAGGTAATGAGCATTAGACTTCAAAGCTTTTGCAATGGATGTGATATATGTCGGAGAAGATAATTCACTGGTGAACACAATAGGGATCCAAAAGAGAGCTGGCCAAAAATTAAGAGGATTCACATCATGCAAGAAGTATTTATTCTTTTTTTTCCCCTTTGAAAGTCTGTTTTCACTCCAGACTGAACTGAAAGAAACAAACACTGAACTTACAGGGAGTCAGAAATGCTGGTAAAAGTTTTATTTCAGAAGCACTGAAATAAACTTTTTTTTTAATTTCTGAAATGAAGTGTCCGGGATATTGAACCTTCCCACCCATGTTTTCTTGTAATTTTTCTCCACTGACAGGAATGCTGTTTTTACAGAGTAGTGTTGTGTGGTTCTTAATGTCAGTGTGTCCATCCTTGGGAAGTGACCCAGGGCTTTCTGGCTCTGTCCTGGTTGTCAACAAGAAGCTGAGAAGTTCAGACTGTAAGCAAGGCATTATGACAAAATTAGACCCATGAAACTGGAAAAAGGTCTTAAGTGGTAACACTGCTCAGTTTTTATTTCTAGTCTAGGGATATGGCTGTCAGATTTGTGCCTGAGCAGCATTTCTAACAAAAAGATGAGAGGGGGAGGAGAGAGAGGAAGTGGAAGCATATATATAGAATAATCAAAAAGTTGGCTGAAAAGACTGCTCTTTCTTCTTTAGGCCCAGAGAGAGTAGGCAAGATTCCTAGACACCTCCACTCCAAGAAAAAAGGTTTCTTTAGCATTTGTATTTATTCCCCACTCTCTTCTTTCTTTGTTAGTTTTACTCCAGCCTCCTCCAGAGAAATCTTTTTTCCTCTGTTGTTGAAGAACCCCTGTGAGTTCTTGGCAGGGACTTAATCCTCTTGGCTAATTTTCAGTACCTGTGTGGTATCTGTTAGATGTAGACATCTCTGACCTTACTAATAGCAGCTTTTCTTCGATCTTTTAAATTTTAGTTCTATTTAATTTTTAGGGAAAAATAAAAAGAAAAATTTTGATGCTTGTAATTTTCTTTTGATTTGGCATTCAGCAAAAGCAGGGTATCTTCCTTATAATATTTTCAGAGAATTTTCTTTCTTGTCCATTATTTTTTCACAGAAGTTCAAATAAGAAAATAAATCTGATCTAGTTAATTATGATTGATGGGAAAAATGCTTTTAAATAATGGTTTAAAATGTTACACTAAAATAATATATCTATTGTGTGCCTCAGCCGTAAGTAGAGAAGGAATTACTTCAATCCAATATTCCCTCTTCATCACATCTCAAGTCCTTGAAATTCATGGTCAGTAGCATGCAAAAACCTTATCTTGAGTAACTGAAACATTAGATAAATCAAAATGGTATTTAGCACAGACAATGGGCCTATTGCCATGAAACTTATTAACAGTACCCATTGCGATATTAGTTCTGGGGAATGAATCCTTATTGCTGTAGAAAATACTGACGCATCTTTCAGATGTGTTTTCAGATTTTTGGCAGAAGTCTTGTTACTTATTTATCAATTTTTTAGGAAATATTTTCTCCTCTCCTGCTGTTTCTGGCCAGCTCTCCTTCTTTGTGTTATGACCCTCTTCATCCTGTATGAACATTTGGTAAACACTGTGAAATATTCAATCCACAGAATACAAACACAATATTTGCTAATTTTTGTAAATTCAGATAGTAAATAAATGTGCAAGCAGCAATCTGTTTTTCATATATTCCGTAATTGGAATAAATTTGGCTAGAAGCATTTCATTATAAAATATTTCCTCAGCTCTAATTAACTACTTACATCGGTCACAGGCAACTCCTGGACTGAATTCCCTCATATGAAATTGATTTTAGTGGTGCCTTCATCCTGTTTGTTGGTTGTTTCTTTTAAGCAAATAAGATGGCTTTTTGTAGCAAAACATTGCCCTGACTTTTAATTTTTATTTTTATTGCTACAAAAATGGGTTTCCATGCTTATTTTATACAATGTGGCTCACTACCTTTCAAATATTGGACTTGAACGAAGAGCACACTCCCCCTCTGATTACTAGAAACATTGTGATAATGAAGCATCAAGGTGTAATTGGTTAAGGACAAATCTCTGCTGACAACCTATTTTCTAAATGGGGAGCTTTTGCTTCTTGCAAGCAATTGATTGCAAGGTGAATATTCAGAATGGTTCAAATAGCCTTGGAATTGGTGGTAGCCCTGTGTATAATGAGCCATTTACATGAATGGAAAACTCCCAATACCTATTCCATATCATCCATATTGTAAGCCACTTCCGTAAACTCTTTACTGATTTCCAGTGTTTCTGTACTGCATTAGCAGCACTTTGATACCAGTTCTGGTTTCCTTGGGTTCAAATCAATTCCATCTCCTAGTTAATGAAAGCAGGTCACCCCTGTTGACTGGTGGTATTTTTTTTAAGGTGAGGTTTGGTAGCCCAAGAGGTGTTAGGTCTGGGAATGGACTTGCTATATGCTTGCACTGTGGGAGAAAAGTGATTATTAAACAATAATAAAGAGGATCTGGCTGATATACTTAGTAGTTCAGCCTGCCTTCTCTTTGGGAAGGCAAAGGCAGTAACTGTGAAAGTCCAAGTTTTTCTCTTTAAGGTGAGTAAGCATGGTGTTTTCTTCATCTTCTTTTTTGAGGACCTTGAAAAAGTGCTAGTGAGTATTTATATTTCCAGGTTTATTTCTTTATTTTTTAAATTGCTTAGTACAGCTGGCTTGTCCGATGGTGGTTTGTGAACAACCAGAAGATGGTCAAGATTGACCTTCCCAGAGGCTGTTATTTGAAGTCAAGTGAAGCCCAGCATGCTGAAAGCCTTTGAAAATGAAGGCTGAATTTTTGTAAAGGAAAAGGTTGAAAGGGTCCATTGGATTTGCTTGAGGTAGTCTGTGGCCTTCATGCCACTGAACACCATACAAAGACTCCAATCCTGTTCATCTAGCTAAGCTTGCTGATACCTATGCTGACCATTCAATAATACCAAAAATCTCCTTTTGAAGATGGCCAAACTGACTTCCACAAAGGAGAGGTTTCCTCTCTAGAGGCAAGTTAGCATTTGCGTATGGTGCCCATTTAAAGGTATGCTTTGCTATCAGGCACTTTGCTGAATAATGTTATATGTTCATAAAATACTCATCACCTTGTTATGTGGACAAGGTAGTATACATTCATTTCTTCAGTGTGCAAAGGCCGATAATTACTCTTGGCTGTTATTCTTCTGCATGTTTGCAAGAGAACCTGCATATGTTTTAAGCAGGTTTTTTCACCTTTCATCTGTCATGGACATGCAGTTGAAGTCATTGTAGCAAAGCTTTAGGTTCTCTTAACACTAGGTTAAAAGTTGCATGGTTTAAAAAAAATAAAAGTGAAATAACATAGTTGTGACATAGCATATATTAGTGCCATTTTGAGTGTGGAAATGGAGAATGATATAATAATGAATTGAAGCTTAGACTAAAACTGTTTCTCTATATAGCTGTATGCCTCTTCCTGCCCCACCCATAGGCAAGAGAAAAGATATGTTATAATGGGATTTAATGATGACTCCATTCAAACATTCTCTATTCTTTAAAATTAGTCAGGATTTTTCTGAACTGCTTTTGCCCTTTTCAGAATAACTTCACTGGGTTTAGGTGCATCCATTGTGGAAATAGAATAACAAATACAATCCTTTTTCCAGAGGTAGAGTTAAGTATTCGCCTAGTATGATTCCTAACTGGAGCTACAGACTAATATTTTCCAGCAAAATTCCCTGCACTTTGCCAACAGGGTAAGTGTTTTGAATTTTACCTGGAGGGACTGGAGCACAGGGAAGAGGCTTCATATGCCCATGATCTTTCAGCAGACTGCTGGCAAGACTTGTAGATAGACTAGATCTGCCTCTTTGCCCTGTGTTTCGCCCCATTCCAGGGAGACTCCTTCACCAGAGAACAGCTGAGGAACTAGGCTAAGACACCCACAGGAGGCAGCTTTGAGTGTAATGTCCCAGTGTTTCTACTGACATAAAGACTTTTGTCTACAGACAATCAGATTACTGAGGTAGGTCAATGACAAACTGGGCAGATGATATTGCTAATGCGCTTGCATAGTCAGTGCAGTCTTTGTGGTTTATCATGCTTTCAAGGCTGCTTTGTATCTGGTTAGAGAAGAGTACGAATACTTCTGTAGGTGTTTTCTCAAAATATGGTCTAAAAGGGCAAATGTTGTGTAATTGCTCTGCAAGATATCTTGTCTTCAGTAGTTTCAGTAAGCAACAAGGCCTGACTATATCCTGGTCCACAAGGAATTTTGGGAGGTGAAAAAAGCATGGGACCTTGCACTCTACATCAGGCTTTTCTTGGTCTGGGTGAAAAAGGACAGTGCCTTTACGTATTTAATTTAGATAGCTGTTATTTTTTCTTAAATTCTCAGAGATAAAGAAACATTAACTTCTGTATCTGGTGTGTTGTATTGAAGTCTTCAAATTCTGAAAGTGGTTGTTACGTGTTAAACAGAGTATAGAAGCTATTCTTGCTAGTATTGGTTAGCAAGCAGGATTAAGGACAGATGTTGCTGCTTACAGATTCGATCATCTCTGGTCATTGATTCTTTTCATTAGCGGTATACTTTTGAATAAGGTCAGGACAGAAATGAACTTTTGGATGAGCTGAGTGGATCTTGCTTCCCCTCTTGAAGCCAGAAAAAAAAATAAAGTCTATAAACTTTCTTCTAATTCCCTGTGTTACCTTATTTTCTGGTAATGTCTAGACTAGAAGTTGAAATACTGAGAAAATATTTACAGTATTTTCTATAATTCCAAATTTCAATCATATGGAAAGGGTTAAGATTTCCTGCAGGTATGACTTCAGTTACTGAATTAAAATAATTAAAAAATAAGATTAAAATTATCCTCTTCAGACTGTATTTATCACACCAGAGCATCTTCTGGTTCAGTCTCATTGTGCAGGCTATTGCCAGCCTGGAGAACAGCTTTGATAAGAGTTCTATTTTAATAGGTTCTGCAAAAACACAAGCAGTTTTATGGTCTGTGTGTCACCTTCCACTCTCCATGCAGTTAAGTGATATGGTTATTTAAAAACAAAACAAACAAAACCCCCACAAACACCTCCCTCACCCAACTCCTTAAATGTTAACAACTCAGTTTGTTCCTTAGCAGATGATTACACAAGTTTCTTGATAGGCTGGAACTGAGTTCACAGTGCCAGCATCATACGCCATGGTGGCCTATGTTATGTTGAGTCATAGTGGTTGCCAGAGCTAAAACTTGTTGTTTTCTTTTCCTGAAAAAAACATGAAAAATATCTCATTTATCATGTTTTTTATTACATCTTTATGCAGGTGGTCTCCATACCAGGAGACGAGCCTGATTGGGCAGGAGACTGGAGCCCCGAAGGGGAAACGGGCGTCTCCTACCCCTATTGGGAGGGTTGGCAGGTACAACATGTGGTGTTATGTGAGTCTATGGGAGCATCTGATCTTTTTCCCCCCTCACAGCGTGGGAAAGTTTCCAGTTCCAAAGCACCAGTCTGGTCTCCGTGTGTGGCTTTCTCCATAAACGGTGGTGTGGAAGTGTAAAGCATGCAGCGCATGTAACTTAAATCTCGAGCATGTGCCAGATACTCTTATCATTCTCCAAGTGGACATGCATGGAAGAGCTTCGTAAAGGGGCTCTGTCTGGGCCTGTCTTCTAAATTTTGTTTTGCTTTTCATGTATTCTTTTTTCTTTTGATGTAGAATTCGTTAAAGACTTCAACACGGCGAAAGAAGAGAACATCTTTTAAAAGAAAAGCCAGCAAAAGAGGCAATGAAGTAGGTATTCAAAGGCTTTGGAAATCAGGCTCCTTTTGTTTAAATGCCAAAGTACAGATGTTAAAGTTTAATTTTCTTAATATAGTTTTTTCCCCCTGGAAAAATCTACACAGTTGGATTAGTTGTGAGAAGAGATCAGTTTTGATAAAACTTGATGAGAATTTTCAAGAAACAACACCTCAGACTCCAGAAGGACCAGCAGCCTAATGAAACAGCATTCTCTTGGGATGTAAGAGACTCAGGTCAGACCCTGGGTTTCCACTAGGCAGAGCAGGGGTGTGAAACTGGGTTTATGAAATCCGCGGCAAGTGCACCGATGCAAGAATCTGGTCCAGTTTGAGGGTGTCTCCCCCAGCAGATCTCATATTGGAAATATTCTGTTTGTGTGAAAATTGGCATTGGGTTGCAGAGAGGGAGAAAACAGATGAATGATATGATGGTTTGATTTACCCTATAGCTTATAGAAGACTTTGTTTCCAGAAACTGCCTAATGGATTAGTTATATAGATGAACAGCCTCATGGGAGAGGTGGAGGGAGACTCACCTCTGTGTAGACAGGGCTCTCTGGTTAAGGTTGTCACTTGGATCATGGGAGAACTGCAGACCAGAATCTTAAATCTATGTCTGCCACATCCCGTGAGAGAGCCCTCCCTACTGAGCTCTTTTGTGTCCTGCAGGGGTAGGGAGGCAAATAGTTTTCTCATTGACATTTCATATGGCCTTTGCTCAAAGATGGGAGGGCAGCAAGGCCAAGAATTCAAGAGCAGATCATCTGCAGATAAATGCTGATAGAACCTGTCTGTTACTTGGAATTAGTAAGTAGATTATTCTATTTTCCACTGGAAAATTTTTCGTATTAGATATAGCACTTTATCTGACACATTAGGGCTGTGTGAATTATTGGGATTTTTTTTTTTTAAATAACATCATGTAAAATTTTAAAATAGTTTTGGGCTGGCTTGAAGGGATGTTTTCCCACTTTTGTTTTCTTACTCGGTTGTCCCAGCTGGATAAATTAGTCCAGCTGAACACCACATTAACATGGCTGTACTAATTCCAGTACCTTTGTACAGAGGTAGCTTTGTCAGAGCTCAGTTAGGACTCCCGCATGTGTTGTCAGGGAAACATTCATAGCTTGTACTAAAGCTGTTGCTTGCTTCTGTTTCTCAGGATAACAAAGGTCGGCCATTTGTGATAAAGCCTATCTCCTCTCCGCTCATGAAGCCGCTGCTGGTTTTTGTCAATCCAAAAAGTGGAGGGAATCAGGTAAGAACATCACCTGGATCCAGGTCACAAAGTTTTGGTTTAACAACAGTGTTTTTGCAAATGACACCAGTTTTTGGTCAGTCAGATAAGAAAAATTCTGCAGTCTTCAGAAAAGGTCCTTGTTGTTTAATGCCCTCTCTGATTCATGGAGACGGATAGATGGAATGGGTACTTGAGTATTTGAGCAGTTGTATTCCTTTCTTCAGATTGTTGAAAGGAATCTAAAATGGTATGTTAAAGGTTTTCAGAAGACTTAAACTTTCACAGAATATTTAGATTGCCAATGAAGTGTCAGACTTTTATCCAAAAAGTGGTTTAATTTTACTAGGAAAGCCTTGTGAAATTAATGAATGTGAAATGACACGTCCTTACAGCATTTTAAAAGAATCATTACTGCTCTTGTACCATAGAGAACCAAGTTTCAGTAACTAACATTCAGAAGACTTCTTAGAGTTCTTGTAATTAAACCTTACCCAAGTGACTGTTTTGCAGCTTAGTTCTGCCACTTTTTGAATTTTAAATAATCTGAGTACTTTTTGATAAACAGAGCCTTCTAGTTGAAAAGATTGATATAATGTACAACAGATGCCTTTAGAGCATGGAGGTTAGCATAGCCACTGCTCACTTTGTCCTCTGTTAGAAGAATTAGGGAGGATATCAAATAAAAATGTGAAGACTCTGATTCAAAACCAAAAAAACAGTTGATCCTTCTCTAAGTGTGTAGATCAGCTGCAAAAACTCCTTGCAATAGCATATGGTGTGTGCTAAAAGTTTAGATGGGCTGAAGGAGAGGTTTGGAAGAGAAAATCCTGAAGGTTTCTGAAGTCCTCAACTGCAAATAGCTGAGGCTGGGAAAACACCTACAGCAAACATCACATTTATTTTCTCTGTTCTTATACCTTTTCCTTGGCACTTTGACTGCTATTCTTGGTTCTCCACTTAGGGGAAGGTGTTGGATAGAAGCACCATCCTTCTGGAGTGGGAGCCATGTCTGAACCCTCACAGGATTCTTAGCCCTCTTCTGCTAGTACGAAATCCTGCCAACTTGTGTCTGGGCAGAACATGAAGGAAGGAAATTGAGTGTCTGGAATATGAACCCAAGAGGTGGAGAAAGCAGAAATATCCTTAGATGATGGGCTGTTCACATTGCACTGAGTCAAGGGAGCATTGGGACAGCTGTAGCCCCATAGAGTACTCGACTCCTACTTCACTAGATGGTAAAGGGCTACAGTTATGAGTGTTCATGGTGGTGATGGTGGAGGTCAAAGCAATCTCGTTGCTTGGATGTTGGACAGGACACTGTTCAATGTGATGGTGACTTTGCCCACAAGCTTGTTCAACATCTTGCTGTCATGGATGGCTAAGGGTGGGGTGGGATAACAGAGGTTTCTTCTTGTTGCAGTTGGTGAGAGGCAGGAGAAGAGGTTGCTGTGAGAACTGAACCTTTGGTCTGAATCCAAATACTTGTTCTTATGAACCATCAGTGATCTGTGTTGTTAAATTTAGTTAATATGTAGGCAGGTGCATCCTGCTCAGATTGGTGGGCTGCTATTTTATAGAGCAGTCATCTGCTATGCTGCTTTCTAGTTTGTTTTTTTCTTTGATTATGGTTGCATTATAAAGCATACAAAAAAGAAAAGCTAAAAAAATATAGTGAATAATGAACACTGTTATTTCTAATAATCATTAAACTATTCACAATTTCCATTCCTTTGATTTTTCTCTCTTCCCAGGGCACAAAGGTTCTCCAAATGTTTATGTGGTATTTGAATCCACGCCAGGTCTTTGATCTCTCTCAGGAAGGGCCAAGAGATGCGTAAGTTCTTGAGCCTTCAGTGCCGCAGACCATAATTCTTTTCTAATCAGAAGAGCAAAGGTCTAGCTTAGGTAGATTAGTAGACTGTGTATGAATTTTATGTATCCAGGTTTTGGTACTGGGGAAGAGGGCTGCAGTGGTGGCTTCTGTGGGAAGTCCAAGTATTTACTATTCAAGACACCCAAGTTGTTTATTACTGCAGAAACACCTCCACTACTGATGCTCTCATGATGTATAGAAGTTTTAAGGTAGGCATGAAGCTTTCAGAGCTGTGTAATAGCATTCAAGGAGGATTAGGTCCTCTGGTCACTCAGGTCTCTACATTTGAATGTGCCACCTCCATTAGAAGATGTTTCCTTATGCCTCTCTTTCAAGCAACTGAAGGAGCATATCTTCCATGGGTGCTGTTTTGGCTCTCCCATTGGTATCTTAGGTCAGCTATCCAGAGAAAGAACTGTTAGATGTACTTGCCTTCTCTGGTGTTAAAAAGAAATAAAAAAAAAATTACTAGTTGAAGAAGCTGCCGTGTTCTACATGCTTCAGAAATGGTGGCTGAGCAAATCCTGATAAGGAACACTAAATTTTGTTTAAAAACCTCAATGTCTTTGTTTGTTTGCTTTAGGATAAGAAAAATTAAAGATTTTGTCATCTCCAGAAGGAACATGAGAATGTGACCGTTCAGGTTTATCATGGGAACATGCTAAACTAATCCAGTACTTCTCAGGATGTGCTGTCTGACGATGGAGGAGGGCCCCATTTCACGTCCTAGTGGTTTTGTGTGTGTGTAGAAGATACGAAGTGAGCCACAGGGCTCAGGTTGGGTTGGGGCTGATGCTGCCTGCTGATGTCTCCTCACTGCCAAGGCTTTTTGTGATGTTGAGATTGTTTTTGTTTATTTGTTTTTATTATTATTTTTCTGCCTCCACCCACATCCTTAGCAAAGAATATTTGAAAATGTACTAAGTGTCACTCCACAAAATGCATAGAAAGTGCCTGCCTTATGGTTCTGACTTTTTTCCCTTTTTCCCACTTCCTTCCCTTGGCTAGGCTGGAGCTGTATAGAAAAGTGCCAAACCTGCGGATCCTGGCCTGCGGTGGGGATGGGACGGTAGGTGGCCAGCGCCTGGCAGCCCCATGGTCATCAACTAAGTGATTAAATTCCTTGTCAATTGCAGTTGTGGGTTTCCCACCTTGAGATGCCTGCAAAGCCAGAGAAATTGTGAAATCTACTTCTTTTTTTTCTTTTTTAATTTGCTGTGTGGCCTGACCTGTGTAGTGAAGGGGCCAGATCCTAATGTCTAAAGTCCTATCTGCTTATGCATAAAGATTTGGTACAGCTTAAAAAAATAAAGACTAACTTTGCTGGTTTCCTCTCTCTATTTACACAGATCTGGGGGTCTAGCAGGTTAAGTCAGTGTCTGGAAGCATTGCATCTGCTCCTTCCTGTTACTGTCTTAATGATGCCCAAGTACAGTTAAATAATCCTCTGTACCTAGAGAGAGCAAGTTTTCCCACCCTCTTTACAAAGCATCTGTGAGGAAGAATATTGCATAGGTCATACTACTAGCGTGGGATCTGAAAGATCCAGATTCAGTATTTTTCTTTGCTACTGAATTCCTATAAGTTCTTGGATAAGCAAATAGAGTCAGATCTTCAAAGGATTTAGTCACCTTCACTTGGAGAGAGGGTCTGGAGGCCATGAGTGGTAACGGAGGTATTACAACCGTATTACTCTTTGCAGTACTTCAGGATACTGTAAATCTCAGTCTGTGCCACTGAGTACTTAAATACAGTTGAAAACTGGGTTTTAATCTCTGTGAAGCTCATTTCCCCAAACGTGCATTTGATAACAGGTGTAACGGTAAGTATGGTAAGGAAAATACATTGCTGTTTGCAAGGTGTAATGACTGGCCAGGATGGCTATATGTAGATGTTTAGGTGAAAGGGAGGATTTTTTTGTTGTTTGTAGAGCGCTGAATCCCCACCCTTAACCCATCACTGCTTGAATTGCTGGGGGAACTTTCTGCTCAGCTTCTGTGGGTTCTTTTAAACCCCCAGCTGTAGGGGCTTCCTCTGCAAGAGTAAATAGAGACCCCCATGATTACACTACTGTCTTGCTGGTACCTGGGAAAATAAATTGTTACTAAATTGTGAACTTTCCTTGAGAAAGATTCAAAAGCATTGCGTCAGCAGGAGACATAAGTGGAAAAAAAAATGTTCCGCTCTGTTTTTGAAAGTCTTTTCTTCCATCTGAGGAAGGCAATATTTTAATAGGAAAAAAATTTCATCCCAAAAATAATAAAATAGAAATGAATGCAATTTCACTGACTATCCTGTTTTCCCTTTCAGCAGTGCGAGCGACAGGTGGCAGCACCTTCTCATTAGTATGAGCAGCAATCCACTATTGCTTTTGCTGCAGCTCAGTTTGAAGCAAATTAATGTCTAGTTATTCCCAAAGCTATTACATCTAGAAATGAAAAATCTGGCTCAAATGGACTTAATGAATATTCAATGAAACCAGATGTTACCTTGCATTATTGAGGTGAACCAGAACTTGTCGTAACTTTTCCATCATAGCCACTTGCTGTTTCTTTCCAGGGCATAAGTGAAAAGCTTTGCTTTCACATCAGTCAGGAATTTTCTGTTTACAGGGAAATGGTAGTCTATGTCATCTGTGATTGAAAACTAATGTGCAAAGTTTAGAAATGACCTCATGTTAAATAGCAATGTTGTACTTACAAATTAGTAATTTGAATTTTCTTTTTATCAGTTAAGAGCATTTACAGAAATGGTAGGTTTTGTAATGATACCTGTACCAGTGAGAGTCTGAGGCACACAGAGATGTATGGATTAAGTCAGTGGCTGTGACAAAGAGCTAATGGCAAAGGACTCTTCGAGAAGTCCTGGCCCCAGTAAAATTGCTGAGACTATTCTGTGTTACATTTTTGATACTGAAGGATAGATTATTTTGAAAGGTAGAGGGTTACTTACCTCTGAAAAATCCTTGAAGGACTCTACTTAGTCCTGTTGTGGAGCCTGTGATAGGCTTAAGTACCTTTTGGTGATATCCAAGTTCATGAGTTGTAATTCAGATGACTATTATCAGACAATGAGCTCTAATATGGGATTGCATCTCAGATGGATGCTTTAATAATTAGACAATAACTCTAATTAAATATCTGTCTCATAAATGCTATTTATACAACATTAAATATTTCCATCAGGAGACTTGTAGAAAGATAAATCCTAGAATAATGGATACTGTGGTGGTTGCTATATTCATCGGGCTACCCCATCTGAAGTCCTTCAAGTTCCAGCTGTTATTCCCAATCTCCATGTTAGGCTGGATGCCTTTTGTGAAGCTCCCATACCATCCCAGTTTGGGTTAAGAATCTATTAGAAATCATATTTCAAATAATTTGTAGTAGAGACTGCACCTTTGAGCACTGGCACCAGGAAAAAAAAAATAGATTTTATCATTTTATGTTTATTTTTTTCTTAATTTTTTATTTAAAAAATGCAGCACAGTTTGTAGTTGCTTTTTAAAGGTGAGAAATAGTTTATGAAATAGTCTTATTTTCTTCTAGCAAGAATTTCAGTCATAAAAGGTTTGATAACATCTTCAGAAACAATTCTTTCCCTCTTGGAATTTAATGAAAACAAAATATTTTATAATAATTTGTTCCTTCTGACTAGAATTCTATTTGAAAGTTTTGTGTAGTCCAGAACAGGGTCAGGAGAGAGAAACAGCTCTCTAAAATAACTAATAGCTTAAGATAACAAAAGAGCCAGATTCATTGTTCCAACCCAAAGCCTTCAACCTTGAGGATTCAATTTTCTCTTTTATTCCAGCCTTTTAGACTTATTTTATATATGTGGCTACTTAGATACAGCAAGAATAATATATATATTAAAAATACTTGGCTCTGAGTGAAATAATTCATCACTAGGGTGTATCATCTGGGGAATGGAATACCTGTGGACAGGTCCACCCCTGACTTCGTTTGGACCCTCTGTTCCAGGACACGCTCTGTGATACCATGCCATTTTAGAGTGCCTCACATTTTCTTTCATAACAGTTGTCAAAGGTTTAGTTTTCTTTAGCATAACGGCAATCTAAAAAATTATCTTGAACTCTCCATGTTATCCTTCACTCATTCTTACATGTAATATTTTTCAGAGCAGTATTTAGGCAGCCTTATGATACTAGGTATAAGTCTATGTGTTTTCATTTCCTCCTAAAAGAAAGGCAACTTAGGTGCTCCCTTTCCTTGGTATCTCTGTGTGCTGTTAAAGACTGCTACATCCCATTGCTTCTGCTTGCACAGGAGCTTCATGAAAACTGATGTACCTTTCTCCAAAAGGTGAAATCTCAGATGGGGCAGTTGTAGACTTAAATTTCAGATGTTGTAATTTTCCTTTTTTGTTTTAATTGATCGTCTCTGTCAAGGAGGTACCATCAAATATGTCTCTCCTATTTTTTTATTTTTTTTTCTTCCACCCCTTTTAATCTTCCTAACGGTTCTCTGCATTTCCCATTTTATAGGTGGGCTGGATCCTCTCCATCCTTGACGAGCTGCAACTCAGCCCCCCACCTCCTGTGGCTGTCCTTCCACTTGGCACTGGGAACGACCTTGCCCGCACTCTCAACTGGGGTGGGGTAAGTGCTGACTGGGATGTACCTTTATATGTGGGTTATGAACTTGCTGCTCTGGTTTTGTTGTGTAGGGTGGAACTTCATTTTGGCTAAAAGAGCAGGCAGGGCTGTGCCCAGGATCTGCTTCAGTTAAGCACAATGGTTTGGTTCAATTTCCAGTCCAGGATCTTGAATTACTAATGATGTACTTACTTGAATGAAAGTGTACACAGATGTAACTGTCTGATATTTCAGGCCAAGTAATGAGAAGGATATGCAGGCTTCTAATTTAACTATAGTTTACATTTTATTTCTCTATATTTATCCTTGACAACAGCACTGGAATTATTCCAGGCATGGCAAGTACGCTTTGAGTTCCTCTCCTTATAACTTTACTTTGCAGGCCCAAGACTTGTGTACCTCAGCAACAGCTTGTTAAAATGACTGATATATCAAAATTCAGCAATATTTTGAGGTGTTCTTAGGAACATTTGGTCTGGTGTTTTAGGCCTGTGTGAAGGGAGGGAGGTAATTGATGAGTGACTTTGCTTTCACTATCCATGGCTGATACTCTGTTGTTAGGGTTATACAGATGAGCCAGTGTCCAAGATCCTGTGCCATGTGGAAGATGGGACCATTGTCCAGCTGGACCGCTGGAATCTTCAGGTTGAGCGCAACCCTGATTTGCCACAGGATGAGCTGGAGGATGGGGCACGTAAGGTTAGCACCTTCTTTTTCCCACAGAGGTTGTAGGATGCTTCAGAGCATCTTTGAGTTACTCTGTAAGATGTATGGGTGAGGAAGCTCTAAAATGTTTTAATTCTCTGGTTGCATCTCTTCCTTTTGCAGTTCTCATGTTTCAGTGCTTCCAGAGGTAGGCAAAATATAGTGTATATCACCCATCTATTTGTTGTTTTAAGCTCCCAGACATTGAGCATTTATCTCAAGAACTAAATTCTGGAAAAAAATCCCTATCATTTTATCTCAAAGGTCATTGTTTTTTCTCTGGTTTACCTGGGGTGGCAGGAGATGCAACTCTGTGACTACTATCCATCCCTAAATTAGACAAAACTAAAACCAGAATGTAAAATTTTATTCCACTCGAGTATCTTGATGGCTGAAGACTGGGAAAATTGTCTGGAGATCACATTGATAGTGATGTGTCATTTGGACTGGAGTTGTTGAAAGTGTTAGGATCATAAAATACAATTCGGTGAAACATTTTCCTCTTAAGTTGTAATTTCCAGCTTATCTATCAGATGCTACTGTTCTCTCTCTACAGCCCTGCTGGGCATGTGTAATGATAAAGAGGCCAGATGTGTGCTTTCATGCCACATGCATCCTGAATAGAATTAGGCCTTCTTGTCTGGGACTTGTGTTGCTCCTGATTATATCGGAGCAGGAAGAGCATGTCTTGAGTTTCATTCACCATGCTGAGTTTGAAGTGCCAGCAATTAGGAAAACCTTTGTATTGACATGTTAAGTGGAACAATATTATGGGAAATCTCAATGACAACATAAGGAATCCTTTGATTCCTGTATACACATATGATCATAAAGCACTGTAGATATGTTTGTGTTCTTTGGGCTCCTGTATGCGATCCTCTTCCACAAGCCATTACTAACCTTCAGAGCAAACTTCTGCATATGTTTTCCTGATATATTCCACTTTCTTCTTCATAAGTTTTCATGAGATGCCAGGTTTAAAGTAGTTAATTCCTGGTGTGTTACAGAATGATTAATTCACAGTATTTTTATGTATCTTTTTATTATCTGATCATAGCTTCCTCTCAGTGTCTTCAATAATTACTTCAGCCTTGGATTTGATGCACATGTTACACTGGAGTTCCATGAATCTAGAGGTAATAGAAACTTTTTTATTTCCTTAGCCTTGGGAATGGGCATTTATTTTATGAATTACAACTAGGGTTCAATTTAACATCTTGTTCTTGTAATTCGGAAGGAGACGTGGAAAATAAAAACCTAAGGTACATACCAGTAGGAAGTAAGTGATTGTACCATGAGTTTCCAAGGGACTTAATGTTTTTAAAATGGAAAAAAGTACAAGGAAGAATGGCATTCACTGGAGCAAAAGGGCTAAAAGGGGAGCTCTTCAAAATTATATATACCAAGTACAGCCATAAAAGAAGTTTATGCTGATGCAGAAATGTCAGAATAAGAGCAGAAAGAAAAACAAATGCAAGTCAGGTGCAAATGTGGAGGTGGAGGGAGGGGAAAATCTGCTAGACTGTGGAAGTAGCAGGAGGATAATTGTGTTCTCAAACTGAACAGCTGTTACCCATGTATGAGTATAGCATAATATCATTAAATTTGGTACAGATCCAAAGTGTGTCTATGCAAGTGAAAGGTTTTAATGTCCACAAAACTGTCAGGAATTTGAGCTGTTGTAGCATTCTTGTTTGTCCCCTTGCCACCAGCAGTTATATCACCATCCAAATGCAGCTTAACAGGTGGGCTTTGGGCTTATGGAAACTATAGTTGAGGCAAGCATGCCTATATAAACAGACCCTGTTCAATTGCCTGTGTTTAGCTTTTGGTTATTTCAGCTTCATATGCAGGTATTTTTTCTGAATCAGCCTCTCTTCACTTTCATACTGTCAGTGTCCTTTCAAGATGAAAAAATAGCACTCTAATGCCATGCTAAATAAAGAGCGGGATATATGATGGAATGAGCTAATGCATATTTTATAATGTTTAAGACTGCTTCAAGCTTTAGGAATCATAATGAGGGGCCACAAAAGGGCACAGGAATGAAATGATGACAGCTGTATGCATTTTCTTATGAATGCATATCACTATGCATTCCTAATGTGCCTGTGAAAGTACCGTATAGATGAAATGCATGGCTACTTTCTCACTTAATGGAGACATTACTTAATAATGAACTTATGGAGACCTATAAAGAATAGATGTTATTCCAGAGATGTCAGTATGTTAAACATTTACATGGTAAAAAAATACTTGGCAGAGCAAACTATGTTTCTGTGGGTGGGTATGTGTGGCCAGGAGCTTTTCATAGCCCTAGTATGTGCTCTTAGAAGTCATTACTGCTGTTTTTTCTTACCTTCTCAAATACTAAAATATACAAAGTAATTTCTATGCATTTTAGGAGAGAAAAGCTTATAGCCTTGAAGGTGTTGCTGGTGTGCAGGTTTTATTGTTTTTCATGTAGAATTGGGGTTGTTCAGCCTGGAGAAAGGAAGGCTCTGAGGAGACCTTATTGTGGCTTTTCTATATTTAATGGGGGCTTGTAAGAAGGATGGGGACAGTCTTTTCAGTAGGGCCTGTTGTGATAGGACAAGGGGTAGTGGGTTTAAAATAAAAGAAGGTATATTCAGACTAGATATAAGGAAGAATTTTTTTTTGTGATGAGTGTAGTGAAATACTGGCACAAGTTGCCCAGAGAGGTGGTAGATGTCCCATCCCTGCCAAGAGTCAAAGTCAGGTTGGACAGGGCTTTGAGCAACCTGATCTAGTTGAAGATGTTCCTGCTCGCTGCAGGAGGGGTTGGACTAGATGACTTTTAAAGGTCATTTCCAAACAAAACTACTCTGTGATTCTATGAATTAAGCAGTACAAAATAGCTTCTGATCTCATTTACAATTGATGACAATCCAAGGAAACTTCAGCAAAACTTAAAGCACTTTCACAGCTGTAGCACTTGGTCCATTAAGATAAGTGATTGTAGGCAGTTGCTTATGTGGAGCTGTTGTCATCACATATAGCATTAAAAAAAAACAAACACCATGCCCCCACTGCCCCATCAAACCAAATTAAATGAAATTCAACTCTCAGCATGGCATGGCACTTCATGAAATAAAGATTAGTCAATTGTTGTATTTGGAATGAGCAGTGATCGTGATATCTCAGAGGAACCTGTACATTAATATGGCCTTTTCCATGGCAACCTTTACACTTTTCTTGTGAGTAATCAGATTGTGCCTTGAGGGTTGGCTCCAAGCCTAACATACTTAGCTCTGCTTCTTCAGGAGGTGTTCTGGGTAGAAACTCTTTCCAGTGTCATCCTTTGTTATCCTTGTGCTTTGACGGAGCAGGGGAGATGGACTTTACTTTATCCCTGTTGACATGCTGTTTGATCCCTTGGCATACAGGACTGTTCATTCACAGGACACCTACTCTCCTACACACACCCACATGTTTCATTTCCTAATCACTGGATGGCTTGAGAATGATGAGGATAGTGTGAGCCTTAGATATGCAGTCAGTGATTTACTTCTACAACTAAAGTTGCACTCTAATCAACTTTAGGTTCTATTCCACATCACAGAAAGGCTCCTTCCTCCCTATGTCTGAAGTAAAATTCAGTGTGTTGGAGGACTGCTGAGTCCCTGACCTGAAAAAGACTCCTTTTCTGTTCTAAACTGGGGTTTTGGTTCCAGTCAGTATTTGTTGTATTTTTCCATGTAAAAGCCAGTTCTCTGGTGGCTGCTGCCCAGAGCCATCAGGGATAGCCATATCAGAGAATGTGCAGCACTGAGCCTTCAGGAGCCTCCTGCTTCTTAGCATGGGGTGTTGAGACTTTTTGTAGAGAGCTGTCAGCTCAGAGAGTGAGATGAGATTTACTTATGAAGTTAAATTGATTGTTTGAAGAAGAGGTGGCCCTGACTGTGTTCCAGGCTCACCCATGCCACAGCAATTGGATGATACAGTAGCTGGGTAAACAATCAAACAAGAGACACAAAGTAACTCTTATGAGGATACTGTGATATGTGGTGACTTCAAGGAGAACTAGAAGCATTGTTCCAAGTGATCATTTGAGAAGAAGTAATTTGGAAGTGTTCACACCAGTGTAATGTTTTAGCCAAAATAACTATCTTGGTAATCAGATGTTTTCACTAGAGAATAGTGAAAACTAGAGAATAGTTTCGCTAAGCAAGTGTAGGTGGTTGGTACTACTACTGAATACCGTGTCAGAAGGGCTGCTTCTGCATGCCACAGACTAGGAAAGCAGTTTCCAAGAAGGCACAAGAATGACCTGTATTCTGGGAAATGTGCCTTATACTGGAAGATTAAAGGAGCTCCATTTAGCTTATCAGAAAGAAGGCTAAGAGGTGATTTAATCACTGCCTATAAGTATTTACTCAAGGAGAAAATATCTTATAGTTGAGAGCTCTTTAATCTGACAGAGAATATAATAAGATTTAGCAGTTGGCAGTTCAAGTCTGAAAAGTTCAAGATGACAAAACCCTCTACATTTATTTTAACAGTGAGAATAATTAACCATTAGATGTGCATTACTACTAGACTATTAAAATTCTCTATCCCTTGGAGTCTAATCAAAATGAAACAGCTCTCTAAATAGGTTTTAGAGTAACCACTTATTTTTTTGCTGCAGGAATATTTGAGCAGAGATGCCTATTCCTCAGTACCTCTTTGTAATTCATCAGAATTTAAGTGTCTGTTTCATCTTGTAATTTACTAATGCTTTACTCCTGCTTCAAAGTATGGGTGTTTCATGAATTTGTAGTAACTCTTAGAGGTCTGTTCTGCACTGGTGGAAATAGAAGTCTCACAAATGATACTGAGGGATCAAAGATGAACAGTCTGAGAGGTGCTAAATAAATGGATTATATTCTACTTTGTCACATTTCTATCTTCACTCTACAGAAAAGGGAAGAATATCAATATCAATGTTTTAAGACCTGATAGTAGATAATGGAAAAGATGGGGGTCTCTGGACCTCCAGAAAAAAATATATTTGTTTTCAGAGTGATGTGTGCTAAAAGCACTACAGTGCTAGCAGAGAATGTGAAGGTTCAATGGAGTCTACATGTTTTATTAGGGTGTTCATATTTTTCCTTTTTATCCTTTCACAGAAGCAAATCCAGAGAAATTCAACAGCCGATTTAGAAATAAAATGTTTTATGCAGGGGTGAGTTGTGATTCGTCTTACAGAATGATGCTTAGTTGGTCAGATCTTTTCTTAAGTACCTTTCCCCTCCCTTTCTGACATCATGAACCCATGCCAGCTTATTTTGCCTGTTGCAATTTAAAGTGTACATATACTGCTTCTGGCAATGCCACACATGTGTCTGTTTGAAAGTGCTTGAAGCACTGTTGCTTTACAGAGCTTAGCAAGTGAGAGACTTGCCACTCCTTTGGACATAGTACTGATTATGTCTTGGTCCCTCTGCTTCTGGCTTATGAGATTCTTAACAAGCCAGTCTGCCTTTTTCAGGGTTTGGGAAGCACACTGTGATTGACTTTCCTAGAGAAATTCCCCAAGTGTTGGCTTGTATCTTTGTAGCTTTGCAGAGCAGTCTTGGCTGTAGGGTCATGGGGAGTGGAAGGCTGAGATCAGCTATTTGGAGTGATTAATTTTCATAAGTAATTATGAAAATTAAATAAAATTACCCACTTCTGCATTTAGGAGGTACATTGACAAAGCTTTATTGTAAGATGCAGTTGAGAGAAACACCGATTTGATAATGCATGATATATAATGTCTTTCTGGATGATGACTCCCACTGTACCCATGTGCCTTAAATATGGAAACAAATATGTGAGCAAGAATTTGCATCAAAAGAATGGCATTTTGGTAATTAGCTCAGTGATGGGAAGAGAAATAAGGAAAGAGAAGAGAGAAAGTGCTGATAAAAATTCCTGCACTTGTTTCTGTTGCAGGCAGCCTTTACAGACTTTCTGCAAAGAAGCTCAAGAGATTTATCCAAGCATGTTAAAGTTGTGGTAAGTATAAGAAATTGTGTCATAGTGTTGTGGGAAGAGGGCAGGAATGGAGAGAGAGTGAGGTGAGAGTTTAATGGCTCTGTTACTTTTCAGTTTTGAGCATGACATTTGCAACACATTCCAAGGAAAGTCTTGGGAAAGTTGTTACAAAGCAGCAACACTTCTCTTGTCTGTGGCTCCATTCAGCAATTTCTCTGTGCTCTGTCACTTTGGCTTTGTAGTGTGATGGTACAGACCTGACTCCAAAGATCCAGGAGCTGAAGTTCCAGTGTATAGTGTTTTTAAACATACCCAGGTAAGTTCAAGACAGATGCTTGCTTAGTTACAAGTTGTCCTAGACTGGGTCGATGTGCAGAAAGTGTATTGCCACTGTGCCGCCTTCTTGAGAGCTAGCTGCTTATAATACTTCTAGTTAGCAAAGTGGAATATTCTGATAGAGATAGCAGAAGTGACTGGCAAACAAACTTTCAAAAGTTGTACACCTAACCTGCAAGCAAGATAGTAAAGATGCCTGGACTTTCACTTAATTAGAAGCAGTGTGGAAAAAACGGGAAAAGAAGGGAGGCAAGAGGGGAAGGATCAATATTTTTCCAGTAAAGGAACACCAACCTGTTGAAAGCAATGCTGTTTTTTAGCATGTTAAAAGGTGTCCCAAATAGAAATATATGTGTATTCCTAAAAGTTGTCTATCTCCTGCTCGCTAGAGTGTAGTCTCAAAACTGGTTTTGACCGTGTATTCCTATCAGTAAAATAATTTTTCACACCACCACAATATACATATATTTATTTATAAATACTGTACTAATATATTATATACATTATAAAACATACACAAAAATAGAAAATAAGAAATAATGTGATAAAAACAGAACAAACATTATTTTAATGTTTTTCTTATTAAAAGTACAAAAATATTTTCTTCACCCTAATTTCTTGTCAATTGTATATTTTTATTGCACACTCATTGTGGTGTATTCATCCCACTTTGGACACCACTGCTTTAGACAACCTACCACTTTGCTCCCTCTAAAGTCCCAAGCACTTGATCTTTCTAGTCCTGCACTTTCCTCACTGCAAGCTTATATCTACCTGGTGTCACCTCTCAGAAGTTCCCCATTCTATCGCTCTCAGATCACTTTTACATCTATTCTTTAATGGTAGGAAAGATAAATGCCAGAGCTGCATCTATTCCTGCTTTTTTATTTCTCCTTGCGTCCTGAAGCTATGAGACATTTTGTATTCCTTGTGCTGTTAGAGCTTCTTATCCAGCAGGGAGAGAGGAAACAGAGCTCCAAGACTGGAGTTGTTGCTGCAGCCCCATGCCTGCCTAGCAGAGGGGCTAAGCAGCTTTCTGGCTCAACAGCTCATCTGCAGAAAGCAAAGCAAATGGGGAGAATAAATTGCTGCTGCTGTTATCTATTTCCTGGTGTTTTCCCTTTTTCCTCTCACTAAAGATCCTGCTAAAGGTTATGATGGATACATCTATGGATGTTGTACCAGCTTGGAAACAAGAGGCAGGTTTTCCCTTTTGTCCAGTCCTTGTCACATAACTTTTAATTGTCCCTGAATTAAATCTTGAAATGGATATCTGGATAATTCTGGAGGACAGCAGAGAAGGCTAATAGTCAGGCTTCTAGTCAGGACCTATCAAGACAAACATCTTTCTCAAATCTCGCTTTCCAAATCTCTTTCTGTAGGTATTGTGCTGGCACAATGCCCTGGGGAAACCCTGGAGATCACAGAGACTTTGAGCCTCAGCGCCATGATGATGGCTACATTGAAGTCATTGGGTTCACCATGGCCTCACTGGTGAGTATATTGCAGGTGCTTCCAGACATGGTGAATTCTGTGGGCTGTGCTAGAGTGCAAACCACCATGATTCCACATATTCAGCCAAGGCCAAATCATGCTTTACTTTTAGATGAAGGAGACAAATTGTAGTTTTCTAACAAAAGAAGTGTTATTTAATATTAAAAATGTATTTGCAAAATATGGCTAATTTGCATGTGCATTGCTCCCAAGTTAAACAGCAGAGTTATTGCAGAAAGAACAGCATGCAGGCATGTTTTTACTGTGGCAATGTTCTATGGTCAAATAATTACTGCTGGTTATTTTTAGCTTTTGTATATTTCAGTCTATGGCTTAAAAGTTCAATTTTTTTTGTAAAACTGCCTACTGGAAACAAATATGAAATATTATATAAAATTATGTGACCATGCAGTTTCCATATGCCCACTAAAAATATTGTGAAGGTCTAGTAATAGCTGTGGAAAATTTAGTTATATTTCTGGCACAAATGTTATCTTGCCTTTTTGTTCTGCTAGAGAAAAAAAAAATCAACCAACAATTTTGTCAGTGTGTTTTCTGTCAGTGCTGTCCTTAAAGTGGATTTAAAGCTGAGTTACCATAAAGCGGTATCACTGTAAATACCCTAGTGTCTTTCTATCACAGTAGTCAAACACAGTGACAATCTCTTCAGAGGGTGATTAAAGACAGAGAGTTGATAGTTATCCTTGTGCTATCACTAATCTATAACTGGCCTTCCTGACTGATTTATATAGATCATGCTTAAGTCCATACTCTTAGGCCTTTGTTGCCACTATGTCCTGTGTGGACTAAGTTAAAACTAATATGGATAAGCCTGTTTTCAGTAAACTCACACTTATTTGTTGTGTGACCTGCCCTCACTGCATATCACTTTCAGTTAATACACATGATAATACTGTTTCTTTCCTCAAAGAAAAATTCAGACAAATCTAATCTTCAAAGTAAGCAAAAGTAAATGATTGTCTTTATCAGCAGTTGTTTCCTTAAAGTCTGTCTGGGTTAAAGATTCTTTCTTGACCTCTCTTTTGTTGGATCTAGTGGATTGAGGAAATAACCCACAAGTAAGAAAAATTTTGTTAGCCTAGTAGGTCTTGTGGAATGAACCATTATTACTTCATTTGTGAAGATTTTAGTGCATGCTTTTGAAAATGTTGTCAGACATACTATTTAGCAGATACCAACTGGTAATTTTCAGTTGGAAGCTTTTTTGGGTTTGCCACTAATGTGAGCCTAGCTACTTGCAGTGGCAGACCTCAAAAGCTAATGACAATTTTAATTGGGGCTGATTTAAGTAGTAGGGCCCTTTGAGCTGCTGTTTCTCTCTACTTCAGAATGGAGGGTCTGCAAGTCTACATTGGCTGTGATGCTGAGGAACCATTGTAACCCTAGACTATTGATACAATCTTAAGTTGCTCTGTATGTTTCCCAGATGTACTTGGTCACAATCAGAAAGATCTGTGAGACCAAGGAAAAGAGGTACTTTATAAGAAGTATTTATCATGAATATTATTGATTGTATTATCAGTTGGTCCATTATATTAAGCACAGAGAGCAGGATTAAAGTCTTCCTTGTATTTAGGCTGTTCTCTATTAATAAAGGATTTTTTCTTTCTGCATCTGCTAGATGAGAGTTTATACTCACATAATAGTCATAGTAATTAAAAAAATACATTTCTGCCTAAACATGTCTGCTTAGAATTTGAAGGATTTGCTCATTGCCTTCCTTGTTTAATTTCTTTCAAATGAATTCTTGAGTATTTATTTGATTGTTTCTAATGAGGTCCTTCTGCTTGCTCTTTTCAGCCTGTCTAGTCTTGAGGTTGAGTTGCTGTGTAAGCTTTCATAATAATGATTTTAAATTTATCTAATTCACATTAAGGGCTATGTTCTGTTCAGGAAGGGAAAATAATTTTTCTGTCTTGCAGATGTACTTGATTAGGGTTCTCATTTTAAGGAGCAAGTAATTAGTAACATTGCTGTTAATGTAAAAACAAACAAACAAACCAAAACAAATTGAAACCTTTAAGAATGAACACAGGTATTCATTTGCACATACACGTGTGTGTCTGTGATGAAATGTGCAGTACGTATCGTTAGATATGTTTGTTGCCCACCACTTTTCTTTGTCAAATTTTCAGTGCTACTTTGCAAATCTTAAGTGAAAATACATTCATTATGCTTTGTTAGAATGCTTCATGCATGGAACACTCTTTAATGGATGTTGTCAGTAGAACTGCGTTTCGGATTTATTAACTGCCTCAACTATCTGTTCTGTGTTATCTTTTCTTTTCTTTCCTGTTTGCTGAATTGTTTGTTTGTTTTCTGTTCTTTTGCAGGCTGCTCTCCAGGTGGGTGGTCATGGAGAGAGGTTGCATCAGTGCCGTGAGGTGACACTTTTAACATACAAGTCTATCCCCATGCAAGTGGATGGTGAACCATGTCGATTGGCTCCCTCACTCATTCGGATCTCCTTAAGGAACCAAGCCAACATGGTGCAGAAGAGCAAGAGGAGAACATCTATGCCTTTGCTGAATGAGTGAGTTGGATATGTGCATGTCCTAATGGCAGGAGGCCTGTTTGTGGCAGCATATTCAGTCACGGATTTTGCATGTACTGGACTTGCAGTGCATTTAAAAAAGAAAAAAATTACTCCTTCTGATCTCTGAACTCTCTTTCCCCACTGTATTGTAAATACCCGATTTGCTTTTATTCTTTTACCTTCTGGGTTATCCTCTGTCTTGCTTTTAGAAAGGTGTTGTACCTTTCAGTTATTTATTTAGAGAGGTTTGTGCAGGCTCAGCAGTGTGCCTCTTAGCTTCTGAGAGTTCTGCATATGTATGTTATTTGCTCTGGAAGTTCTTTGGATTCATTTTCTCAACTTTATTGATCTGCATTTTAAGCTCCATTGGAGACCCTATTACAAACTGTCGAAATTTAGTTTGTCCCTTATACAAAGATACTGAACTACAGACCTAAGTGGTCAAGGATCCCCATTTCATTCAAATACCCATGCACCAGGGTTTTATTTTTTCTGGGAAGGTGGGTGGAGGATTTTGCTCTTGTAGCTGTAATGGTGAGGTGAACTTTATGATGAGATGTAATGTCTTTCATTGGACTAACTGATGTACCTGGAAAAAGCAGACAAATTCTCAGGCTCCCTTCATGTATCTTAAAGGTTGTCTGTGTCTTTCAACAGTATCATTTAATGGAAGATACTGCTTCACTTCAGACTTTGACTCTAGCCCTTTAGAGCTTCTTGTCATCCACTGATTGTCAATCTGTTCATGTAATCAAAGCCTCCCTGATTGATTTCAATGTCTTCCTGTTCAGTTTAGCACTCTGTGTTCTCTTATTGAGACTAGTGCTTTAAGTTTCGGTAGAAGCCCATATCTGTAATGTGCAATTCCTATTTCCCTGGAAAATACATAAGGTATACTCATCTCTCTTGAGCCATGAAGAACAGCAGACACTTGCCTGTGGGCAGCAATGACCAATTTCATTCAACCACAATGACTTAATCGTTTGTGAAAGATAGAATTGAGCAGAGAGCAGTCCTGGGGCATCTTTTTCTACACTGAGGGAGACTAATGCAAATATAAAAAGAAAATTCCTGGTGTTTCAATCTGATTATTAGCATGGTTAGGCTTCAATTTTGAGGTCTGAATTTAAAATGTGGTAGGGAAATACAGATTCATAGTATATGCCAGTTGTCAAGAGGATATTCTTTGTGGCTTAGGTTGATTTAAATGTGCTAGGGTAGACTATGCTGCTGTCAGAGTCATTTGATTGGGCTGCAGACTTTTGTTTTGGGAAAATACAAATACTCTATTAGGAACTGTATTCTCATCCTCATGTACTGGAAATGGCACGTGCCTGTATTTATATCTACGTCTATATATGTGTGTGTATGTACTTTGCTTTCAAGTGTTAAAGGGGAAGGAGAAAGGAGTTGAATCTCCTGGTGTAATAGAAAGTAAATCACATGTTAAAGGTTAAACTCTAGGAAGTATTTGAGTATTGTAAGAAGTTCATTCAATATGATGCTGATTTGCTGTCTTTCACAAAGAGAAAAATTTCAATTACATATGTTTATATACATTTCTTAATATCTGGAATGTATCTCTGTATTCCATTGAAATCTCCCAGAAAGCCTTATATTTGATTGAACATGATAGATTGTTATGACTGTCATCTGAATGTTAGATGTGTGAGATTAGTAAGTGGGTCTGGAGCTATCCCTAATTGTTAGACAGTTGTTCTTGATCTCCTTGCCAGGAAAGTGATTAAAAAATTATCAGTGTCACAGTAATACAGAGTTGCTACTATTGTTGGCATTGATATTTTTGCTAGATAAGGAGAGCAGTAGGATTGTTTTTTGGAGTTTCAGCTAGAACACTGTCATTAGTAGAAAAAGACTTAATTTGAAGAAGTCTTACGCTGTTTTTCTGTTTTTTTTACCCTGCTCTCCTCTGTTCCAGAGGTTTTGGGAGGGGGGTTTAGAGACAATAGTGAGTTTGTTGTTTGCCTTGTTGGATGCACTTGAGTTTCCATGGAATAATAGTATTTTAGAATTGAACAGCCCATATGTAATGTAGCCAAGTGAGAAGAACAGAGATTTCATGCTTCTCTCACTTGGGAGGAAGAGGGCTTTAGAAACATGATTCTCTTTCGACTGTAAGAGTTGCCCATCTTCCTAGTTGCCACTGTTCTTCAAAACCTGTAGATGCTTTGAAAGGACACTTTTTGTCATAGCTGAGTGAATTACTGGCAATTAATGTTTTAATCAGTTACTTAATCTTTCACTGCTGAATTGCCTAGAAACCAATTTCTCATTATATTAATTGTCCCCAAATTATTCAAGGACTAGTTGTGGCAACTAGTGATGTCTCTTCTTAGTGTTCATCAAACATATTTTTTTTTAATATTTTCTTCTGGAAAGGTAAGCTGTTTTGATGTGCCATATAGGTTATATGATGTAGGTGTGTAGGTGAAGATGACCTGTTTATGGATTGTACTTTTCTGATAACTTTAAAATTTTGAGTTGAAGCATGAAGTTGTTAGTTGGTGAATACAGTTTCAGTGCTTCTAATTTAAATTTAAAAGGGAGGTATGATTTCTTCCTCATTCTATGATGCACTGTTCTGTAACTGAGATAAGTAACAACCCAATAAAGTTTTTCAAGCCAGTTTTCTTAGGTGCAAGGAATATATAGGATAAGGTGATGCTGCTCACACTTGGTTATGGATTAAAACAAAGCAGACAGTGGGGTTGTGGTGGAAAAAATATGCGGGTGTCTTTTCTCATGTGTCTTTTCTCATATGTCTTTTCTATTTGTGCCAGCAAAAGCAAATTTTTGTACATTCAGATCAGCAGAAACATTTTTTTCCTGCAAAAGAGTGAATTGTGTTCTTATTGTCCTTCCTTTAAAAGACTTGCTGGCTAAGATGTCATTCCTATTCTCCCCTACTGCTCAAGGTAACATGTGAAAGAGACAACATATAGCTGGTTTTCTGTGATCAAGCCAAGAATGTGGTTCTTGTGAGCTATAAACAAAATGTACATGGAATAAGACGGGAAACTGTGGTTCAATTTTTCCAGGAGTCTTTTTCTGATTAGAAACTACAGTTTAGTATGCTTCTCAGTAAGTTTCAGTTAATGATCACTTTCTGAACCTCAAAGGACAGTATTCTGATTTCACTGGCATTTGGTTTGAGAAAGAATGTTCCACATAATGGAACAGAAAGACGAAAGAAGAGCTTATAAATAAACATTTTCCATATGCTTGAGAGAAGCAAAGAGACCATTTGAGTATAAACACTAGAGAGTCTTGGGAGTCACTATATGTAAAATGCATGTTTCCCTAAGGTACATGAAAGAAGAATGGAGACAGCAATTTGTCATTGTGGATACAAAATCTTCAGTAAGGGTATTTTATTTTTCTTAAACATTAACTAAAGTTGGCCAACCTTTGGAGACAATTCCATCCATTCAGATATTGGCTTTGATGTTTGTTTGCATTTCTGGACCTGCTTCCAACGTCTGTTGCCTTGAAATTTTTCAGTGCCTGTGAAAAAAATCCTGGGGCTCCTTGTCTTCTTTATATAGCAATGTGCATAGTTTCTCACTGGTCCTCCTCACTTGTGTCTAGAAAGGTCCTGTGTGTCATGTAGCAGTGGTTTTCTCCATTTGCATGTCTTCTGTTGCTCCTGGCTTCCTAGTGTGAACTTGGAGTTCTGCATGTGTCTTCATTCAACTTTTATGTGACACATTCCTTTTGTTTCTGTTTAAATGTCGTATGTCTTCTCTTTCTTTCTTCTCTTCTACTCTTTTTCTTTCCCTCACCTCCCCTTTTCCTTGTCTGTCCACACTGTGTGCTGCCTTTCTTCTGGCCACTCATTTCCTGCTGCCTATAGTATTCATAAAGTGCAGTCTGCGGACCTGAGGAGAGTCTCAGCTCCCCCCGATTCCTTCACTGTGTGAGTACTTGGCTTTTTCCTACTTTCAAAGTTCATAGGTTGGTTGTTTTTTTTTTTTTTTTTGCTGTTACCTTGTGTGTGATTCAACCATTTCAAGTGACAAATGGGAAGCGGGAGCTCAGATGATGGCATGGTAGGCACATGACAGTGGCCTTACCAGAAAAGGCACAATTCCACAGTAGCCAAGCAAGATAAGCAGAGCCTGTCTAGTGGCGGTGACCAGATTAAGCCAAGAGTCCAGTTGCCAGACAAATCCATAGCAACAGGCAGGTCTGAAGGTAAGTGCCAGGCACCATCCCTGGTAATAGTTGAGACGAGAGCTTTCTGTCCTTTAGTTTTAGTCAAAAACATACTATGAATAAACTCAGCCATAATCATATCTCCAGACAATGCTGATCAAAACAGGAAACGAGTACCCCAGAGGAGCGATGTGACACTGGCTGCAGCTGCATTGAAGATGGACGCTCCCCTCTCCACCTTGGCAAGATCATGATTGCCAGCAACTTCACTGTGCTAACTTGCTAGATAGCAGCTAAGTTATTCAGGACCCTGGCGTCTTTCTTAAAAACCCAGACAAAAACCGCAGCTTGATAGGTCAACGGAGGCAGTGTAGTTTGTCTTCAAAAACGCTGGGTTGACCATTAGTCAAAACCCATATTTTGCTGTGTGTTGTCATCCCTTTTGTCTTCTTGCTTTGCCACTCTTATGATGGACATCTTTTCAAATGAGTTAGGATGATCAAAGAAATGAATTTGAAAAGGAATTGGAGAATATTAAATTTCAGACCTATAATCCAGGTATTAAGAGCAGATACTTAATTCCAAGAATTATTCCTACTCTATGACAGAAGAAAGTCAATGTTATGTGCTAAAAGAAAACCCACCAATACTTCTTTGTTCTAAAGACTGAGCCCACGCAATAGATGGCTCACAAGCAAACCAAGAGTTATTTGAGAAAACTGATTAATTAATTTAAAGAGCAAATTTCAGCTTTGCAGAAAAGGGTCTGATGGTCCTAATGGACACCCAGGTGGCCATGAGCCAGCAATGTGCCCTTGTGG